CTTAGCACATATAAGAGATTTCAGGGGGGCTATGAATTCTGGTTCTATAGGGCTTAAAGGGATTCTAATTATTTACACCCTTTGCAGGCTCAAAATTGCAGATTGTGACAAAAAGAGAAATGAGTCTAAAGAGAAAACAGTTAAGACTAGTGGCAACAAGAGCATTAATATACAGACATGATAAGGTAAGAGAACAGGCTGCTGATTTTCTGCTCAACAATACTTGGAAGAGGCCAACAGGAAACACCATGTGGCATTTTGATAAATAACCTCACCATTTGGTAGGCAGTAAAAAAAAAACAACCAACCCTGACTTTCTTCTCACAAGCTGCAAACTGCTGCCTGCTTGAAGCAGGATACTGTGGTTAAACACGACCAAATAATGCTATGCAGGACAAATTCACCACTTCCTGGGGAGCAGAGCCCATAGTGTTTTTTAAAAATGACTTAACTACTTCTGGCTCCAAAACCCTAGAAGGGTGCATGGTAACATCTAACTAACCTTGATACACTTTGTTGTTCAAACCCTCACTCCTGCCCAGAAGATGTGTCATTTCTATGGTGAAACCACGGTCTCCAAGTCCTGCAGCTCTGCAGTCAGGTCCCAAGATTACACACTTAGTGTGGAACCAACCTTGTCATGTTTCTGTTTCCTAGGCATCCCAAGGGCCAAATGGATATGTGGACCCAGGTAGACTACAAACGTTCCTTGAAGCAGCCTCCTTTCTGCCCCAGTTAAGCAGACCATACTCCACTTGTGCAGTCTTAGTGACTCAGCCACACAACCAGGCCAGGCTTAACTGCTCTCACAGCACCCAATTCTACTGGACCATCTCCTTTCCACTCTGCCTGCTGATCCTTAGCTAATTTCCTTGTACACAATGTCCACCTCCAAGCATGGTCCTGTCCCCAGCAGCTCTTCACATCCTCTTGCAAGCGAGGTAGCCCCAGACCAAACTGATCCACGTGACAATTTTAACAGAAGCAGAGATCTGCCCTGCATCATCCCTGGATTGTCACTAGAACCCCAAGAACTCTGCAGTAGGTCTCTGCATGCTGTGGATGTTTTGTACTTCATTCCATAGGCAACTTCTCCTCATGACTCCTACTCACAAGAGCAAACACTGATTCTTTTTGTTTCTGTGGGGCAGGTGCACATTCAGAGAGTTGAAAGATGCAGTTAAAACCATCTGCACGCAGTAGCTACTTTTAAGTGGTATGCAATATTGCCAAAGGGACACTTGATTACAAGTTTGCTTGCTTTCCTCTAACTTCCATGGACCAGACATTTCTCACTGGAACAGCAGAGCAGCTTCCAAGATGAGTCTGGGACTCTGGGACTGACCTGTGCCTGTGGGATGACCCTTGAGACCTGGTAGAAAAGAATGAGTGGAAGGCACTTAATGAAGGGAAAATGTAAACAGAGATTTCAGAGGACAGGGCTCCAATGGCACTTTGATAAGGACAGAAGTAGTTTGGCTGGGTGGAAAGGATTTGGATGTGGTTAGTAGTGAGCTCTTTCTCAGAAGGGGGTCACATCTATTCACTTTCATTTTGATCACTGAGCTTCAGTAGCTGCTATGCTCCAGAGAGGAGGCTGGATTGTTTCTCAGTTTGCCTTTGCAATTGCCACCGAGGGCTGGTAGAAAAGAACTGACTGAGCTCCAGTTGCCTCCAACTCAGGAGAAGTACCAGGAGCTACAGGTGATCCTCCCTGTCCCCAGGGGAAAATACGGAATCCCAGACTAGTTTGAGTTGGAAGGGACCTTAAAGATTCCAAACCGCCTGCCACTAGTCCAAGTTGCTCCAAGTTCCATCCAGCCTAGCCTTGAACACTTCCAGGGACAGGTTAGCCACAGCCTCTCAGGGCAACCTGGGCCAGTGTCTCACCCCATTACAAGAAAAAAATTATTCTTAATACCTCATCTAAGTCTCCTCTATTTAAGTTTAAAGCCATAACCCCTTGTCCTATCACTACATGCCCTTATAAAAAGCCCTTCCCTAACTTTCTTTTAGGCCCCCTTCAGGCACTGAAAGGTGCTTTAAATTCTCTCTTCTTGAGGTTGAACACCCCCAGCTCTTTCTGAGCCTTCAGCAGCAAATGACAAAGGCAAACCAGGAGAGACAACTCTGGGCCCTAGGCAAGTAGAGAAGCATAGAATCACAGAATGGTAGGGGACAGAAGGAACCTCTGGAGATCCTCTAACCCAAACCTCTTCTCAAGCAGGTTCACCCAGAGCAGGTGGCACAGGATAGTGTCAAGGTGTGTTCAGAATGTCACCAGAGTAGACTCCAAAACCACCGGTCCCAGTGCTCTGCCACCGTCAAAGCAAAGAAGTTTTTTCCTCAGGTTCAGATGGAGCTTTCCATACTCCAGTTTGTGCCTGTTGCCCATTGTCCTGTCACTGGGCACCACTGAAGAGTCTGACCCCATCCTCTTGACACCACCCTTTAGATAGTCATAAGCATTTATAAGATCCCACCTCAGTCTCTTCTTCTCCAGGCTGAACAGCTACAGATCTCTCAGCCTTTCCTCATAACACAGATGTTTTAGTCCCTTAATCATCCTTGCAGTCCTCTGCTGGACTCTCTACAGTAGTTTATTGTCTTTCTTGTACTATGGAGTCCAGAACTGGACACAGCAATTGCGTAGTTACTTGAAGCTATCACCTATTTACATGCTTTGTCAGTCCCTGAAGAATCCAAACTTGTTTTGGAATTAGTTAAACTTAAATATCTTAAGGTAAAAAGTTAGTTTATTTCAGGAAATAAAAAAAGCTAAGAAAATCCTAACTTTTCTCTTTTTCCTCCCTCCCACACTCTACAACAGAACAATTCTCTTTATTGATGTTCCTATGACAATGCTAATGTTTTTCAATAGGTTTTGGAAATTCTGAATTGTCCTCAAATTCAGAGATGGTTTTGGTACAAGTCACTGATACCAATAACAAATTGAGGGTGATTAATATAACAAAGTAGTTATTATTAATAACTGTATAGTTATTGGACAACAGAAAATATTTAGGAATCACAGTATTTTGAAGATACCTTTATCTATGTAAACTCAATCACATTTGAGTTAAATGTATAACAATATCATCATATTTTTATACTAATATCAATATGTCATATCAACAAGAACAACCTTCTCCCTGGCTCCAAGTTAAGATTTAGGACCAAAAAAAGGAACCTGAGATAGTTCTCTCTCTTTGTCTTTAGCTGACTACTTACTGACATTTTGCTTGAAGTGGTAAATAAAAAGTGACAGAGAATGGAAGGTATAGGCCTGGTGAATGTTTTCCTCTCTTCATTGAAAACACTGGGCTGTGTTTGGTACCAACTCAGAATGTCAGCAAGGAACAAAACCATGATAACCCTAGACAGAATATCTTGGTAGCCACTTCTTTATTTGAGCAGCTTGGATTTAAATATAGATCTTAAAAGTGCTTGTAAATGGAAAGCAAGCCCAAAAAAGCAAGCCCAAAAAAGCAAGCCCAAAAAAGCAAGCAACATTTCCGGGTTGACATTTACTTTTCCAGGTTACAGTTCCCTCCTGTTACTTTTTTTCTCTTCATTCTCCCTTCTCCATCTTTTTCCAGTCCCTCTTAGACACATGCAACCTAATCTTATGTGAAGAAAAGCCAAAAAAAGGCACAGGTCTGCCAAGCATGGGAGGACAGAAACCTGGGACCACATACAGGTGGGCATACCTGTATTACAGGTGTTTCACCCAATGATTCATTGCACAAGAAGTTGGAAAAGCTCTTCCCTCACTGGAAGGAGAAGCCAAATCCTTAAACTAGTTTCTTGTTTCCCTGTTGAAGGGACTTGAGGATAAGTCTTAAGAGAAGTAGCTGAGGGAGCTGGGACTATTTAGTTTGGAGAAAAGGAGGCTGAGGGGAGACCTTATTGCTCTCTACAACTACCTGAAAGGAGGCTGTAGAGAGGCAAGCGCAGGTCTCTTCTCACAAATAAAAAGCAATGGGATTAGAGGAAACATCCTCAAGTAGTAACAGGAGA